ACACCTCAGCCCACAGCTGTGCCACGCTCCACTGGCAAGGCTGCACCCTCTAAACCAGCGGCTCTCAACCCTCCTCACGTCGACCCTTTAACACAGCTCCTGTGCTGAGCTGACCCGACCATAAAGTCACTTCGTTGCTACTTCCCAACTGCAATTGTGCGGTGAGGAATCATAAAGTAAATATCCAATATGAGGACACATGATATGCGACCCTGTGAAAGGGCTGTTCAGCGTGGTAACAAACGCCTGGGACCCCAGCAGAGGCAGAGGCAGGCGGATCTCTGTGAGTTGAGGCCAGCCTGGTCTACAGAGTGAGTCCAGGAGAGCCAGGGCTACACAAAGAAACCCTGTCTTAAAGAACTTAAAAAAAAAAAGTTGTTCAGCTCCAAAGGGGTCTCGGCCCATAGGTTGAGAACCACTGGTCTAAAGCATGAAGCCAGATGTCAGACTTTAACCAAGTGCCGGCGTCTACGAAGATCCCAAACGCTCCAGCTGGAAGCACAGCAGTAGGGTGCTCCCAAGGGCTGACGACACGCACCGGTTTAACCCAAAGTAACAGACATTCAGACAGGCAATCAGGAAAAGGAAAGCAAACATCAAGGCATTATTGAAACAGCCTGATCGTGTACGTGGACATGCGCACGTGTGTGTGTGTGTGTGTGTGTGTGTGTGTGTGTGTGTGTGTGTGTGTGTAAGTGTATGTGTGTACACGTGCGTGTGTGCACGTGTGTCCCTGTCCAAGTGTGTCAACGCACCCCAACTCTTGCCGCCGTTTCTGCGCATCCAGGTGAGCGGCTGCAGGGTTGGCAGGGCTGGTGTTCTCAGCACACCGGCCTCACTGAGGCCTGCACCCCTTTCCCCCGGGGAGGACTGTCAAGCGTGAAGAGCCTGCTCAGCGAGGAAGGCCAGCCAGGCCCAGAGCCTCGCGTCATCACACTCCCGGAGCACTGTGGTGGTTTGGGGGGCAAGGCCCACATCATGGGGCTCGGTTCTCCTCAGGAACACCGGGTCCACAGTTCTTCTGTGTCTCTTCCCTTCTGGTGACAGAGCCCTGGGGGCAGGGGAGTCATAAATCTTCCGTGCTTCTTGCCGTCAGGAGCAGCGTCAGGCTCCACACTGGGTAAACACAGCTGCCGCGCAGTCAAGGCATTGAGATAATTTCTCTATTTATTTTGTTCTTTCACGTCCTGTCCTAGAGCAGGACTTACTACTGAATAAATGTTGAATGAACGGATGAATTTTATGAACTGTGGCGCTGAAATAATTTCTGCAGACCCAAAAGAAAGTGCCACCGATGTAACAGAAAACATCAAAAAATCAGACTATGTGGCAGTGATGCAGAGAGAATAACTTAAATTTCTGAACCATTCGCCTCAGGGGGTTCTGAGGCGCAGGCAACCCAGCAGTGACACCGTGTGGTCAAAGTGTGGACTCTCACAGCAGTGCTCTTTCCACAAAGCAGTGAGGGAAGTCTGCACAAACTCCTAGCCTCCAGGGCAGGCAGGCCCAACAAGAGCCTCCTCCTACGCCTCTCATCCAGAAGTCAATGAGCCCTTCAGTGCAGAGATGCAGGAAGGAAAACAAAACAGCCAAGCCCACCAAGGCCTCGCGGGTTTGTGCGGGAAGCTACCTGCACAGTGACTAGAAAAGCCCTCAGGCCAGGGGCAAGGGGAAGCTGCTGGCTGCCCCCAAAAGCATCTCCTCCTGTCGCCATTTTCAAACCTGCTCTCACTACAACTGTCTGGAGAACTTCCTGCTCCCAGAAAACACGGCACTTGGTCAACACTAGAAAAGAAAACCCTCACCTCTGACCTCAACCTCTGCAGCATGTTCAGGGCACTCCAGAGCGTCTGAGGAACATCAAGCAATGGAGACACACCACACCCAGGCACACGCGTTCACGTCCCTGCGCTCTCAACATTCAACAGAACTTGGCCAGAATCAAGCAACCGGGCAGAGGCAGGCCTCAGAGCCCACATCGGGAAGCTTGAGTGTGTCAGGGAGACGAGACCGGGACCCAGTTGTGCAGGGGCAGTTTCTGAATATTGTTCTTTCCACAACTATATGTAATCAGGTCCTCAGTCCTCAGTGTGGGAGTCTTGCACACTGCACAAACACTGGCTTTCACCTTTTTCAGGAACATCATCCCCATGATTTCTGAGTGGGTAATTAATATTTCCCCAGTCAATTACTCAATAGGAAAACACATACCAGTAGGAAAATACCCCCATTGCCACGGCTGCTGTGGGGTATTTTAAAGAGCTGAATTCACTGTGTGTGTGAGCAAGTGAGAGGGCAGAGGCCAGAGGCTGCTCCCCACTTTATTTCCTGAGGCAGGGTGTCTTGCTGAGCCCAGAGCCGGACAACCTGGGGGCCCAGCTGTCAGCCTGCCCGGGGAGGCCCGTCTCCACCCCACACAGGCCAGGCTCTCTGTGCGGGTGCGGCGGGGGCTACCCCGGTCCTAGCGCTCGTGTGCGGCACTCTCTCCAGGAACTGAAAGACCAAAATAGCAATCTCTCCTCCACGTTCCTCCAACACAAAACCTCAAACAGCAAAGGGTTCCTGACAACTGTTTACAGGAAAATAACCCGAGGCCGCCTGTCCTCTTCATTTCTCTGCCAGTCAAAGGCCTACGACCCGCAAGCAGGCCTCTGGCCTCCCAGGCTAGGAGCCTGGCAGCCTTCACATGCTTGGGCTCATCTCCGCTGCAACCCTCGATGCTCAGGACGTCAGGAGCACCTGGGAGACTAACACATATTCCACAGGGACAAGCCCAAAGCTCCAAGGACTGCCTGGACTTGGCATTTTATATGTCATAACATAAAACAGTGATAAGTGGGCTGGAGAGATGGCTCAGTGGTTAAAAACACTGGCTGTTCGTCCAGAGGACCCAGGTTCAATACCCAGTACCCACAACTGTCTATAATTCCAGCTCTAGGGGACTCAACACCCTCACACAGATATACATACAGGCAAAACATTAGTGCACATATAATAATAACAATAAACAATGATAAGTAACTTGGGAGTTTGCATTCCTCAGACGAAGGCACAAACAGAAGTTATGTGGCTACTGCCCAGTCACGTGTGTCAGAAACAGTATGAACGGCAGGGCTGGGCCTGGTGGCTCACACTGTAATCCCAGCACTCCAGATGCCTCTGAGGCAGGGGGACCACTGTAGGCTTAAGGGTGGCCTCTGTCACATAGTGTGTTCCAGGCCAGTATGGGCTAGTGAGAACTTGTGTCAGAAAACAGCTGGTTGGTAATGAAAATGAAACAAAAGAATGTTTTTAAAGAGAAAAGATCACCCCGAGTTGGTGTTAGTTTTTTTAATAAATTGACTTGGCACCAGGTGCTTGTTCAGCACGTCTGTTCTTCAACCATTCAACCTCTCAGCAGCCTCACTGCATTATTGTGGAAGCCGCACAGCGTTCTCACACGCTTCCCGCGTCTCCCCAGCCATCACACGGCCATCTGGGATCTGCGTCTGTCTCTCTGAGCCAGGACGGCACAGGCACGCAAGGCAAAGCCCTGGCCTTGCTTGCCCAGGGTCGGCGGCCGGCCTGACAGCCAGCATCGCCCTTTGCACAACACAGGTGTGAAGGCTGCTTTTCTCTTTCCAGGTGAAGCAGGTGGGCTGTGTGTGGAGTCCCCGGACCACCGTGGCTCTGCTATGTGTTAAAATCACTAACTGGCTGGCCCTTACTGGCTGACAAGAGAAAGAGTTCCACAAGATCATCTGTCACAGAGCCGAGACACTGACAGCGTGTCACTGTGAAGGGATTAGTAAGAACACACCTGGAGAATCTGGCAGCCTGCCCAAAGCCAGGTACCCCTGCCCCCGGACCAGCAGCAAATGCTGGTAGACTCCCAAACACATTTCCAGCATTTCCATTTTCCTCTCCGATGGGAGTGACAAACATGAAAGCCAAAGCCTTCTTGGCACAAGAGAGCAGACATCAGCACAAACAGAAGTTGTGATTTTCCCACCCAAAGATTTGCTGAGAAAAACCCAAATCAAAACAACTGTTTTTCACCCCAACTGCTTACAGACCCTGAAACAGGGACCCTTCAGCACACACAGGGGGCTGTTTCCTGCTCTCCCTCCCTCCTGCACCGGAAGCCATATGCAGAACAGCACAGCCTCAGCACGCACTAAGCATGCACTCTTCAGAAGACGAGAAACACCTAATACACTGCAAACGTGAATAGTTGCTCTACTGTCCTCTGTACTGTTCAGACAGTGACAGGAACACCAGTCTGCATGTTCAGCAGAGACAGGATCGTTTTTAGCTGTGTGTGTGTGTGTGTGTGTGTGACATTATGCATGTATGTGTCTGTGCATGTTCAGCAGAGACAGGATCGTTTTTAGCTGTGTGTGTGTGTGTGTGTGTATGACATTATGCATGTATGTGTCTGCGCATGTCCAGGCAAGAAGGGAGAGCATGTACTGCAGCACACGTCGGGACAACCTTGGCAGCCACTCTTCGCTCTCCTTCTCCCTTATTCCAGACAGGGCCTCTTCGTCTAGCGCCACGCAGGCCAGGCTGGTGGCCTGGAGCGTCCAGGACCCTCCCGTGTCTGCCCCCCGTCAGGAGCACACTTCTGCAGCCCGCTTCACACTCTTCTCGGGGCTCACACCTGCTCTTCGCCAACTGCCATCTCCTGGCCCAGCACTGGGTCTTTATTTTGTCAGGTGTCTAATCCACACTCGGTTGCATCCTCAGACACAGAACCACACACATGGAGATGCAGCCATGCACTTCTGGTACAGACAGAGCTGCACGTCCCTATAAAAACCACAAACTTCAGACTTTACACCCCTAACTCCACAGTCACCTCTACTTCACACACACACAAATAAAACATTAAAGATACTGGCACTCCATTAACATGGTTTCCAGCCCTGAAGTGAAAAGAGCAATCACGCTGACAGGGGTGGTGAAGGGAACACTCAGGCCAGGGCTTGGGGCGGACGCTCCCCGCTGAGCACACCCACCTCAGTGGCCAGCAGCAAGCGCAGCGGGGTTAAGGCTGGGGCCTGCCGTGCATCGCAGCCCAGGCCGAGGGTGGTCAGGACATCTCTAAGGACGTCGTGTCTTCTCTCGTTGCTGGATTTGAGCACATCGAAGTCTTCTCGGGTGTGCACCACGGCAGCACTGGGCGGGAGCTCCAGATGCACCTGGGGACAGGCAGAGCAGTGAGCAGCGGGCCCCAGGGAGAGGTCTCTAGGCCAGGCCTGACGAGAACCTGAACTCACTTCCCTTCTTATCAGCGTCCCACCAACTGTGAGCCTGACCATCCGGAAAATCACGTCAAAACACACAAGGTAAATAAATGCCATAAAAGAAAAAAAGAAACAAACAAGAAAAGAGCTTAGAATGGGCTTCCCGGTTCAGAGACATGGTGGGACTCTGGATGCCACCGGACTTTCCCGGTCGTGACTTTCACCATCGACCAAGCACAGGCCCCTGGGAAAGCCACTCAGCCTGGACAAGAGCTGGGCGGGCATGCTGCCCTGCGTCCTGCTCCTCTGTAATCCTAACACGCCTCAGTCCAGCCGCTGGCTGCTGATGACGGGCCTAGCTCCATGGCCTGGCCCCGCTAAGCAGAAGGCTTCTCAGATGGACTGAAAGGCAGAGGAAAATGTCCCTGGCAACAGACATAGAGGGGCGGCTGGCACCCACTGGGCAGAGACCAGCGATGCTGCTAAATGCCTACAGTTTACGTGACCACACCTCACCATGAAGACTAATCTAGCCCAACAAGTCAAAAACAGAAAAGCTCCGCTGTGAAACGCCTTCCCTGAGCTAAACCGAAGAAGCAAAGGAAACTTTCTCAATTTCATTTTTCGGCTGCATTTAGGCAACTTCATGCCCAAATCCATTTGCTAATCAAATGCCAGCATTAATTCTGCTTCTCTCTTTCTTGTCACTGTGAAGGCGAAGGCAGGCGAGCAGGGTGCCCCGCCTGGCGGGCACTTGTACCCTGCCTGGAGGTGCTTTTCCTTCTCTTACTGGGTTATATCATTACTAGATTTCCTACAAAGATGAAGGCTATGAAACTGAATGGAAACAGGAAACCAGGCAGTCTGCAGTCTTCTATCAGCCAGTTTCAGCCAGGCGGTGTGGTGGCGGAGGCTGGAGGACGCGGTGACCCTGCCACACAGGAGCCTGGAAGTCACTTAGAACGAGAGATGACGGTCTAACCCTCCGACTCTGATTTGTGAACCTGTATCATATTGCCTTTTTTTCTTCCTAGGGCAACATACTGAAGTATCACATTTTATGATAGTATTGGGGTCAATTTAAACGGTGCAGCAGGCAGCTGGGTCCTGGAACTTGGGGAAGTGGGTTGCAACGTGCCGAATCAATTTCCTAGTATAAGTCTGTGCACAGAAGTGGGAAAAAAAATTCTTCAAAACTGAAATATGGCTCCAGGAAGCGGGGTTTTCAAGAGAATTTTTTGAGAATGCATGGTTGCTATGGTGACCACATTTGCAGAGGGAAAGATAAGAGGAACATTTACTGGGGCCTCTGAAACCAGCCCATGTGGTCCGCAGCCCCACAGGAAGCCGGCTGGCTCTGCGTGTGAACTGTCCTAGGGCCCAGACTTCTGCATTCTGAGAATCTCTGCCTGGCCAGCAACTTAACAAACACTGGGCTTTACAACAAAGAAACAAGAGGGGAAAGAGCGGGACTAGGAGCTGGCTGTGTAAGCAGGCAGGCCTGCGTTCCCAGACCCTGTGGAGGGCGGCCTCAGCACACATCCGATGCCTGTGCTGCCGCAGAGGGAGGTGACACAGGAGTGTCCTGGTGGCCGCTGCCCAGGGAGCCAGGGAGGTGCAGCAGTAAACAAGAGACTGTCCTCAAGGTAGGAAGCGAGGGCCGTGCCCAGAGCTGGCCTCTGGCCCCACACGTGTGTCCCACAGAGGCGGACAGAAATCTGGGATGTCTGTACGGGTTGTTTGCGTGCCTGTATGTGTGTGTGTGCCTGCAGAGATCAGAAGACAAGGCTGATCCCCTGGAAATGCAGTCCCAGACACCGTGAGCCGCTATGCAGGTGCTGGGAATCAAACCCAGGACCTCCAGAAGGGCAGCCAGTGCTCTAAACTGCTGAGCCAGCGCTTCAGACCTACGCACTTAGGTGTAAACATAACACATTGGCAGAGAAGAGACGCTGTGAAGATCTGTCCAACACTAAATACACGCACGACCAAGAGCGTCACTGAACGTGGCAGGTGCTGCTTTGAAATCACCACCCTACGCCTTTGAACAAGGGCTGAATGACGTAACCAGGGCGTGCTTTGAGGCAAAAAAATAAGTTAATATTTTAGGGAGATTAATGATGATTAAAACAAGAAAGGCTTTTCTGGCTGATCCTTGGTCAAGCCGGAGGGTTAGCGAACCTTGCCACCTCCTGCCTCGGCTCCTCAATCACATGCGATTTGATTATTGAGGTATTCACAAAAGCCCTCAACTTAGCCTTCACAAGGCGCCAGCAGACACGCAGCCCAGAGCGCGACTAAGAACTAGCCGTTCCTATCAAGACCATGAACCGTCTCTGCTGCCATCCCTCAGTGCTGCCCACCGTGGTGTTCCTCAGTGCTGCCCACCACGGTGTTCCAGGCGGGGCCTCTCTCCGGCCAGGAACTGACCAAGCACGGGCCACTGTGGTACAGCAAGCCCCAGGGACTACAGCAGGCTCCCCGCCCCCCGCCAGCACCGGGGTGGCAGACACCACCACCACGGCTCCCCGCCCCCCCACCAGCACCGGGGTTGCAGACACCACCACCACGGCTCCCCACCCCCCCGCCAGCACCGGGGTGGCAGACACCACCACCACGGCTCCCCACCCCCCCCACCCCCGCCAGCACCAGGGTGGCAGACACCACCACCACCGCGCCTGCTCTTCTCACACGGGTTGTGGGGAATCCCACTCGCACGGCCAGCACTTTACCACTGGGCTACTGCTCCAGCCGCTCTTGGGACTCCCTCATGAGCACACCCAAATACACCCAAAAAGCATGGTACCAGCACCACGGCCAGTACCTGGCAGAGAACGGCTTCCCCTCCTCGGGTTCCAAAAGGCACGTGCACGATGGCCTTGTCCTTGTCCTCATTCTCCAGGTGGCCCTGGACCCGGCCTGGGCTTAAGCCTTCCTCGTAAACATAGCCGCTGCTCAGGACACTGAGCGGGCTTAAGCCTTCCTCGTAAACATAGCCGCTGCTCAGGACACTGAGCCGAACCTCATTCCCATCGGCCTTGGAGAAAACCAAGTTCTGGGCTGTGTTCCGCAGCGAGTCCCTACTTGTCACCCGAAAGCCACCGACCGTGAAGGAGGAGGACAGGCCCAACACCTTCCCTCCCTGAGAAAGGTAGGCCAGGAACCGCCGCTGTGCGTCTCTAGGGACAGGCTCCCGGCTGGCAACGACCAGCAGCAGGCAGCTGTCGGGCCAGGGGTCCCTGAGAGCGCTGTCCTCCCGCAGGTGGTAGAGGGTGTAGCTGTCGGTGTCCACGCAGTCCTCCAGGGCGGCGCGCACCTGCTGCAGCCGGCCCAGGGCCTCCTCGGACCCGGAGCCCACATAGAGCAGGATGTTGGGCGCCTTTCCGGAGACGTTGCCCCTCCGTCCCTTCTGCTCAGGGCCAGGCCCCTCCGCAGCAGCCTCCACACCGCCGCCTCGGCCCTCGGGAAGATCCGGAGTGCCCTCCGCAGAGGCACACCTCACAGACTCGATGGTGCGGCTCTCCAGCTCCAAGCACTCGTGGCAGCTGGAGAGGTGCAGCTGGTGTCGCTCGGCGCAGCCCGGTCCTGGGTCCCCATCGGCGGCAGGCTCTCTCCCCGAGCCACAGCCTGTCTTCAGCGGGGAAGAGCCTTCTCCAGTGGCCTTCCCGTCACCTTGGCCAGCCTGCTCCATGATGCCCCCGAGGGAAGGTGCTGGGGTCAGGGGCGAGGCTTGCACTTGCTCGCCGGAGGCCTTGCTGAGTTCCCTCAGAGCAGAGTCCTGTAAGTGAACTGCTGGAGCACAGTGGGAAAGGTCATTAGTCAACACTGGCTCGGACACCCAACAGAGCAAAGCGCACCCCTCCACCTCAGTCCCCGCGTGCACTAACTGTATCCACTGCGGTGAGAGCACACCTGTGGGCTGAAACTGAAGGTAACTTTTACCTAAGACCCGCCGATTACTCTCCGCGGCGTCCCTGGGAACTTTCCTAGAGTTACTTACAGACGATCTTCTGGGCTACCAGTCCGTTCTCCATCTGCAGTCTGTCCTCCATGAATGCCAGCCCGAGCTTGCTGAAGTCATCCACGCTCGCTTTAGCCATTACCTGGAAGGGATCACCAGGCCGGCAAGCTAACGGCAAACAGCAGTCCGACCATTTTACAACCTGAGAGAGAGAGCAGGTGAGGGAGAAAGAGAAGCTGAAACCTTCCCAATACTTAACCCCGGGATCCTCTAGTTACAGTCACAGACGGTCTGCAGCAGGTCACAGGTCAGAGGTCACAGGTACAGGCACAGACGGTATCCAGTAGGTCACAGGTTACAGGTTACAGTCACAGACGGTATCCAGCAGGTGACCAGACATTGCCTTTGGTCAGGAGCAAGGTGTTTGGGCTCAGATGTTCTCATTCTGACCTAACAAGAGTGACTGGTTACAAAGCACTAACCAGAGCTCCGTGGTTCAGTGTCCCTGGACTTGCGCCTGCTAGGGATGCATGCCTCTCACGCCAGCAGCAACAAGACTAAGCCTGAGGACCTCAAGTTCAAAGCCAACAGAAGCCAGGCAGTGAGACCCTGGCTCAAAAGTCAAAACAAAGGACAGGAGAATCGGCTCCAAGGTTAGCCTCACTGATGCCTCTCCAGAGGACCTAGTTAGTGCCTGGCACCCTTGTGGCGGCTCACACAGCTCCAGTTCCAGGGGCTCTAACGCCCTCTGCTGACCTCCATGGGCACCACACCCATGCACAGACAACATGCAAGCAAAACTCCCACACACTTAAAATTAAGTTTAAAAAAGAAGAGCAGGATAAGAATAAATATAACTCGCCAATAAATAAAGGAAAGCAAAGCTCCAATGCCTCAGGGCTCTAAAGGTGAAAGGCGCCCTCTCCAGACACGGGCGACCCTAACTGCCCTTTTGTGACGGGCACAGGACAGAAGTGTGCGGAGCGCCCCGCCAGTGTAAAGGAAGCCTGCCCACCGGCTACCTCCACGTGCAGGGGGGCCGGCTGCAAAGCTCCTCGGGGAGGCCCACCAGACCCTCCGCTGCCCCAGGGCTGCACTCCAGGAAACCAAGCTGCCCAACACAGATCCAGACACCGGCGCAGACAGTTCCCAATCCTACCACCAGAGGGCGCCGGGCACAAGAGTAGAAGAAACGGCTTTAAAGCCTCAGGGCTTTGTACCAAAGAATTTCACAGCAGGAGACACGATCTCCCAGGAGTCCGGGGGAGAGGGAGCTGAGCAGGAAGCTGCAGCGTGGGATTCAAGCTCCACTCACGGCTGCTCCCTGGCTCCTGGCGCCGCTCATCCCCCTATCTGTATAGGAGGGAAACTGAGCACACTGCCATGCTGTGTCCCATGCTGTGTCCCATGGGAGCCGGACAGGTGCTCAGTATCCCTGAGCACTTCCTGCTGCTTCTGCCCACCCAGCTCCCTCTTCCAGTCTGACACACACATACTTCCATAAGTAATGAAGACCAACCTTTCATAATAAAAAGCGGAGTAAAGCTTAGGCTAAAGTCCTCGATCAGTGCGCGTGATAGTCTGTGAGATGCTACCTCTACTACCCAAAAAGGTCTCAAGGGCACACTGCCCCAGAGTTCACAACTAGATGCTACAGAAGTCTGAATTCCAATTCTAAAGTTCAGGGGATCAGATCTTAGAACAAATTAAATTTCCTGCTGGAAACCCACGAAAAGAATACGCCTCGGGAATAACCAGAAATCCAAACATGAAAGAAAGGGGTGGTCCTTCCCTCACACCATCGCCCCCCCTGGCTCAGGGCCTCAACTGGAGAGGTGGGAGTGGAAGCCCTCAGCAGAAAGCCGTGCCAGCTGCCGGGACCCAGCATCCGGTTCTCGATGCGACACTAAAGTACAGGCGAAATAGGAAAACGACACAGTGGACAGCACCAGGATTTCAAAGGACAACACGCAAAGACTGGGGGAGATATCTGCCAGTCTCACAACAATCTCCTCCAATTCAACAGCGGGAAAGTAAGCAGTGTGCTCTTCAGGTGGAGAGAATGGAATCTGGATACATTATTTCTCAAAAAAAAGTATCAAACGGCCAATAAACAAAGTGAACACAAACAGGGCTGGCTAGCATCAGGATACTGGCAGCCAGCAAGTGCCGAGGCCGACAGGAAGTTGTAACTCCAGGCCAGCGAGAGCGCTCAGCGGGTGAAGGCACTTCCCACCAAGCCTGACAACCGGAGTTCAAACCCCAGCACAAGGCGAACGACAGAACCAACAGCCGCAGGTCATTCTCTCACTTCTGTCTGTGCTCCACACCACACAGTCCACACACACCAGTCCACACACACACACACACCAGTCCACACACACACACACCAGTCCACACACACACACACACACACCAGTCCACACACCCACAGCACACCAGTCCACACACACACACACACACACACACACACACACACACACACCAGTCCACACACACAGAGAGTAAGTGGAATAAAGTAAAACTTTTAAAAAGAAAGTGGAATCTGAACACAATGCAGGTAGAGATACAAAAGAGTTCAGCATCTTTAGGAAGAATACGAGGGTCACAAAGCGAGCTCTTCCACTTGAGCATGCACTGAAGAGAACTGAAGCGCCATGAGCACGCACGCACAGGGACCACAAGTGCCCACAGCACCCTATGCTGTTCCCAAACCAAAGATAATCCAACTACCCTGTAACAGGTGACCCATACACATCCATGAAGAAGCTAGGAAGTAGCCGCTAAAGTTTGTGAAGTATGACTACAGCACGGTCATGGACGGAACATCAACAGCAGAAAACGCGCTGTCTCTGGCGGGGTTATTGCTGTGACAATAAGACCAAGGTGGGGAGGGAGGGTTGATTCAGCTTACTCTCCACACCACTGAAGGCAGTCAGGACAGGGACCTGGAGGCAGGAGCCGCTGAGAGGCCTCGCGGTCTCAGCCCGCTCTCTCACAGAACCCAGGGCCACCTGCGCAGGGTAGTGCTACCCACAATGGGCCGGGCCCCTTCACACCCATCGCTGCTTAAGAAAATGTCCCGCAGGCCAGCAGGTTCCCTCCTCCCCAAGCCTGGGTCAAGCTGCCATAAAACCATACGCCACGGCCATCCATGAGCCGATGCAGGTAGCGTATCTGAAACAGGCAAACCCAGTCGAAGGCAGGTCAGAGTCAGAGAGGGGCGCAGACAGGGACCGCTGGTGGGAGGAGTCCTTTCTGAGGTGAGGAGGCTTCCTGTCAGCTGGAGAGATAACTGTAAAATGCTGTGAATGAATCAGGGGCCATTTAACTGAGCTGCAGTGCGTCCTATGACACCCAAACTCCTGGCAACTTTTCTACTTATGTGTGCATGCGTCTATGTCTATGTGTGTAGATGTGTATGTACACAAGCAATGCACACTGCTGCCCTCAGAAACCGGAAGAGGACGTCAGGCCTCCTGGGAGCTGAAGTTACGGGCCGCTGCGAGCTGCCCTCCGAGGTGCTGTGACTCCGACCTGAGTCCTGTGGAAGGGCATCTAACCACGAGCCATCTCATAGGGCTGGCGGCATCAAGTGTGCGCTGCTGCGCTGTGCACGGCCGGGCGCTCGGCCAGCGGGCTGCTCGCGCTGCCCTGCACCTGCCGCTGCGGTAAAAGGCCCAGTGACCACTTTCTCCCAGGACTCAGAGGGAGGAGATGCCGGAAGACACACGGAAGGGAGGGCGAGGACAGGAAAGGGCCACAGGGCAACACACAGAGCCCCGCCAAGGCTCTCAGCCCTGCGGGGGATCCCTCTGCCTGGGAACAGGCCTGTGGGCCAGCCACCAAAGGGAAGCCAGGCTTCACAGGGGTGGGGGCGCCTTCCAGACAATTAAAGCAAACAAAGGGGTAGCGAAAAGGGGGAAAGGGGACAGACACGGAAGGGGAAGCCACGCAGAAGGCTGACTCCAAAGATCAAAGCTGAGGAAGCCAAGACAGGCCTGGAGCTTCCTCTCAAGCCACAGGCAGAGTCTATCCGATCACCTCAGCTCCGGTGTCATGATTTACGGCAGCATACAAGGATTATCCACAAAACTCAGATTAAAACTCCAGTCCAAGAAGCAGAGTGAGATACCAGGTTCGCTTCTCAAGTGAGGCCCCTGCAGGCAGCTGGGGAACAGAAACCGCAACAAGCTGGCCGGGCACCCACATGCGCCCACGTAAGCACTATGCTGATGTCTGTGGTACACTATATGCCTGCTTCCTGGTCACCTGAAACGCACTCGCCAGGCTGCTACAAGTTCTAATAAGCAGAACCTGGCTGTGGATGCAAGAATCCAGCAGAAATGGAAGTCTGAGGCCAGCCTGCTGGGCTGTGAAGTGAGAGCCTGCCTCACAACATAAAAGCAGGGTGTACACCTGCAAGTCCAGCCCTGAGGAAGCTCATGTAGGAGGACTGCCCAAATGCAAGGCCAGCCCGGCTATACAGCAAGATCAAAAGCATGAACAGAAAAAGAGTGAAACCAAGGTTCTAGTACCTGATTACAGGGGGAGGGGAGGTAAACAGAGCATGGGGGGGTAGTCTGTGGCCCAGGGCTTGCTCTCCACTGCTGCCGTCCCGGCTTAAGACCTGGGTTAGACATAGGTACAGAAAGGAACGGTCCCCCAGGCTCACTCCTGCACACTTGGTCCTCAGCTGCTGGCACTACTTTGAGGGGATGTGGGAATTTAAGAAGGCAGGACAAAATTGTAGGTCACTAGGGGTAGGCCCTCAGGTGCTGCTGCACCTTGTCTCGGGACTCCCGCCCCACCTGCCCCTGCCCCTCTCCTCTGGTGAACAGCCTCTAACACACACTCCTGCCAGAGCCCAGGGCAGAGCCTCAGTCCCCAGGTGAAGGACACGTGACCTTTTGGACGGACTGCAGTGGTTCTCAGCCTGTGGGTTGAGACCCCTTCAGGTGACACGTTCACATATCCTGCAGAGCAGATGGTTACACCACGATTCATAACAGTAGCCAAATCACAGTCAGAAAGTAGCAATGAAATAATTTGTGGGGCTAGAGAGATGGCTCAGCAGCTAAGAGCACTGGCTGCTCTTTTAGAGGCCCTGAGTTCAATTCCCAGCACCCACATGGTGGCTCACGAGCATCTGTAACTGTAGGCTCATGGGATTAGATGGCCTCTTCGGACTCTCTGAGAAAAGAAAGAAGTTATGGCCGGGGTCACCAGAACGTGAGGGACGGTGTTAAGGGGTCTGCACTGCAGCTCTAGGAGGGGAGGACCCCTGCAGCAGAGCACAGGCTGTAACTGCCAACCACTCACCATCCGTTCTGCAGACACGAAGGAGCAGAGCATGCTCCCCACTTAAACTCCGTACATTTCATCTTTCTGAAGAAGTTTTAGTGTGATGGGTGCTTTGCCTGCTGGCATGTCTGTGCATCATGTGCATGCCTGGTGCCCTCAGAGAGCGGAAGAGGGCATCAGACCCCCTGGACTAAAGCTACAGAGGTGGTAGTGCTGAGACTCAAGCCTGGATCCTCTGGAAGAGTGGCCAGCAGTCTTCACGCGCTGGGCCACCTCTCCAGCCCCTAACATCTATTGTGTGATAAGGAATCGTAAGCCTGTAAGACATGGGAAGGACAGACAGAACGAGACCTGTGTGCTGACGTGGGGAGAAGGTAGAAGAGTGTTCCACGGGACGACCAAGGGCAAAGGTCACTCTTCCTGGTCACCTCTGGAACCCCTCGGCTCATCCACTGAGGAGGGGTTCCCACCCTGAATGCAAGGGCCTCCGTCCCGTGGGCTAGGGGCCCACACTGAGCATTTGTCACTCTGCTCCCTGAGCTGTTGCTGTGTGGGCAGCAGGCAGCTTCAGTGTGCCCTCCCCATCCCCCTTCCCTGCCATGTCCTCATGCTTCGGCCACGGCAAGCCCTTCCCTAAAATGTACAAAGCACCCCACATCTAGACGTGAAGCTGCGTCATCCTCAAGTCGACCGCCCTCTAACGCCTTGTGAGTGGTCCACAGAAACACAGACAGGCAACAACACAGCTTGTCAGCAGATGGCTGCTCAGCATAGCTAGGGCAGGCACTCGCGCCACAGCAGCACAACGGGGTGAGAGCATGCTGGCTTCCGGAACCTCCCCTCCGCTGAGCCACGGTGACTGGTCCTGCACTCACGGGTGGCAGGGAAGGCCGACACAGCACAGGGAGGGCTTGCACAGCTTACGCTCCACGCCTGCCGTCCTTCCACCCGTGGGTATCTGATCCATGGCCTGCTTGACCCCACACCTCTCTCTGTCTCACTGGTCACTAACTGATCTGAATGTCTTGATCTGCTAGCCCGCTCTGTGACCACCAAGAGCAGAGGCAGACGGACCTCCGTGAGCTCAGGCCAGTCTGGTCCACTAGACAGTGCCTTAGGAAGTTAAGGAGGTGATGGCTCTGGCAGGGTGCTAATGCACCCCCAAATCTAGTGTTCCTTCTCCCCCAGAGCCGACACTGAGGCCACTGCATGTCTGAACTCTGGGAGGCAACAGCCCAGGCAGCTGTGGATCCCGCTTTTCTCTCCTCCCCTATCCTGAGGGCCACAATGTGGATAAATTCAGCGGTAGCATGGCAGAGCACAGCAGGAGCCCGAGGCCACATCTCACAATCACCCAGCATGGAAAAGAAACAAAAGAAAAGAAAACTGGACCCTGGGTGCCACAGCACCTCCCCAACAGGGAAGTTTGCTTTTAGCCTGGCCAAGCCACTAAGCTGACGTCTCACAGTCCAGCAGCCTTGTTGGTAGACGCCAAGGGTGGAGCTCCATGGTGGAGCAGCTGCTGTGGAACACCAGCTCCTGTGTCCAACACCCAGCTCCAGAACCAAAAAAGTACAATAGTTACATCTTCGCGTTTCAAAAGGATCTGTGTGCACTTGATACTTTACTGTAATGTTTTAAAATTCTGACTTTTGGTTTGAAGTTGAAATCTTACCAAATGTATTCATAATCCTAGGCTGCACAAGGTTTGACTTTCCATATGTGTGTAATAATGTATAAGAGAGATGCTAGTGTTCAGAATCCTGGTACTTGTTCATTTAGGAAATGTATACCTAAAAGGACATACATTTCCATTTTAAGGAGCTGAAATGAGGAACCATGAAAATGACAACACAAAGCAAAGCTACAGGAGAGCTGTATCAATCAAACTTGTAACTCAGTAGAAGTGAGAAGGAGGTGAAATGGTGTGATTTGCAATATTCTCTCTCTCTCCCTCTCCCTTTCTCTTCTCTCTCCTTTTTAAAATACTCTAAACAACAAATCTTGGGCCTGTGATTGAGTTTGAAGCATTTTCAGCACGCTCCAGACAAGATATTTAGGAAGGACGTAGTTATGTAAGCCAGGCATTTGGGGAGCCAGCAAAGATCACAGGATCGGACCAGACCACTGGGGACAGAACACAGGACACTGCTGCCCAAATACACTGCAAGGTGGCTCAGCAGGTGAAGGTGCTTGCTGAGACCCCAACAGCCTGAGGTGGACCACAGGCCCACCACGGTAGAAGAGAGCTGACTCCTGGCCATCGAACCCCATGTGCTAACTTCCACGCGCACATATCTATACACGATCAAGAAATACATATAAAAGGGAAAAAAAGGAAAGAGGGACTGGGGAAATGGCCCCAGTGGTAAAGTGCTTGCCTTGTTTGCATGAGGACCTGAGTATAACCCGGAGCAAGTTAAAAACCATGCCTATGGGGCCAGGGGCCAGCCTGCAGCAAAAGCGAGGTCAAGGGGTGGCCAAACCCCCAAAATCAGAGTGAGGTCAAGGGGTGGCCAAACCCCAAAATTCTCATCTTGAGACTGGCAAGAGTAGGACAGTTCCCGCCTGTTCTGGGCCTGCACACAGCCTTCCCCACCTCCGCTACCCTGAGGTGGTCATGTAGCTTGGGGGTTAGGTTAAAGTTCCTGTCTCCTTATAAGGGCATGTCCAGCAAGCCCCTGAAATTCTTCCTGAACATGAAGCATTCCCAGCACCTTGCCCCTAGCCCACCGTGTACACTCATCCTGAAAGCCTCCACCCACTCCGTAAAGGTTTAAACAGCCTTTGTTCACCCCCAATTAAACTCTCACTGAAGCCTGCCTCCCCAGAGGTCTCTAACAGCCCCGAGCAGTCTCTGCACCCTCTCCCCCGCAGGTCACGCCTTTCTGGGTGGGGAAGCAGGGCCAGGAAACACTCTAGAAAGACAGGCACTGGCAGACTGGTAAGCCTCAGCTCCCTGTACCAGACCCTGTCTCGAAAACAAAACAAGGTGAACAGAAACGGAAGATTGTCCCTGGTCTCCAGCTTCACCCACACATGCAAACACAAATACACGTACATGCACCAGGAAAGAAACAGATGAAAGTAATTTTACTAGTATATTCCACACCGCCCGGCACACCCCCAAAGAAAGCGAGCCATCCAAAAATTCAGAAAGATCATTCCTTAAAAATCAAACAGTCTCGGTGTGTGCAGCACGCCCTTAATCCGGGGCTCAGGAGGCAGAAGCGGGTGGATCTCTGTGAGTTCAAGGCCAGCCTGGTCTATTCACCAGAAAAACCCAGTCTTGAACAAAACAAACCAAACACACACATAAATAAAACAGAAAACCAAACAAACCACTTGGGTTTAGAGTGAGACACATACACAAGTAGAACGAGGAACTCACTGTTTCTGAGGATGATGGCTTCTGGAAACTGCCACCTTGTGCCCGAATGCTCTCGGTCACAAACGCTATATGTTCTGCCTCAAGTATGAAGGGAGAGACAAGACACAGGGCCCATTTGTTCAAGTCATCGATAGACTGCAAAGAAGGAAAAACGATAAAGAGGAGTCAAGGTCATTTCGGACCACAGTTGACACTTATCTCAGCACGACCGACACACCTCCCCTTGCTTCTTCCGGTAAGCTATCTGAGGCTCTTCCGCACCAATCCCCCAGCCTTCGCCTCATGTCCAGCTGCAGCGTCTAAACAGCCAGATAAGCCCTGGTCTGGACCACCAGAATCTCAAAATCTCTGGATTTTTATGCCCATGAAAGCAATTCTGACCACTATAATTCTGACCAATATAACTATAATAACAGTTACAGTTGTAATTCTGTAACTGGCATGAGCTTTCCAATCACACCCACAAGCATGGTTAAGGGTAAAGCGCACACCCAGAGGTGGGGGCTACCTCAGGAAAGGGCCTTTCCCACAGAAACAATACCAGACATGTCTTAAGGGAAATGTGCCCCCAGTCAGGAAGTCCTCTATCCTCAGATTTCTGGGAGCACTGTGATTTTATTTTTAAAATTTTAGTCTAACAAATCAAGGGACAGCCAGAACAGAAAAAGCTGGAGCTTTTAAGAGGGGTTTAGAGACAAGAGTGGTTAGCTAATCAGATGTGACTGGCCCTTTTTACACATCCATGGGTTCAAACAAAAAATAACTGTCTATATAAATAAACTCACTTTTGTTCTTGTCACTGACCCCTAAACCATACTGTACACTGACCATTTCCATAGCTTTTGCCCTGCACTGGGTATTGAAGCAATCCAGAGATGGCTCAAATATGGCAGGACCCACATGGGACTGGACCGTCTCATGTTTTAGGTGAGCTATCAACCTATCAACCGTGAAGATCCATTTCCTCTACTTTCAGATTTCTGGGAGGAGGACTGTGACTTGATTTTTTTAAGTTTTAGTCTATCACGGGATACCCAGAGCAGCAAAAGCTGGGCTCTAAGGCTGCAAGGAGACAGCTCAGCATCACCGGCCTGCATAGCACAGCTCCGGGCTGGGACAAGGCTCCCAGTGCAGAGCAGGGGTGCAGCAAGGGGCGGTAGGCACAAAGCCATCCTCTGGGGTTCTGAAGCAGGGATAAGCCACGCAACCAGGTTAGAAAAGTTCAAAGGTGTCTAGGGAATTTTCTTTGGCAAATTTTCTTCTCTGAGATAAACACCAAAGGTTTTGTTTTAAATAATCGGCTTAGAAAGCGCCACAGTGGGGGGGGGGGGGTACAAAATGAATAAAGTGTAATTAATAATAATAAAATATTAAAAAAAAGAAATTAAAAAAAAAAGCGCCACAGTGGGAAAGTACACCCTCACTCCTTGTTCCGTTTTGGGATCTCCCTGTCTGTCCTGAGAGGGGCCGCGACTGCGCGCGCCGCGCCGCCCTGGTCCAGGTGGTCCTGTGAAGGCGTGGTCTTCCTTAGGTTTAGTTTTGTGTGCACAGCTGTCTTGCCTCCGCGTGTACGTGCGCCACCTTCAATCCTGGAGCTAGAGTTAGATGGTTATGAGGCACTGTGTGGGGACTGGGAACGAGCTGGACGTGGGCGCTCTGGAAGAGCAACTAGCGTGCTTCACCGCTGAGCCATCTTCAATCCCTACACTTTTCACTTAGCGCAATTCCATGCCCAGTCCTAAGCGGCTTGACCAAAAGCATTCACCCTGAAGTAAGCTTACGATTCGCGTACGGGTGTTACGGTTTGACATCTATGAAAAAACGCATTTTAGTGCTAAAAGTGAGGCCGCTTTCCAGGAGGCGGCGGAGAGGGCAGAGAGCGTGGAAAAGCCAAGCACTGTGTGGCGCTGAGGAAAGCAAGTGCGCGGCGGGGCCGGCTCCCTCGCCCGCAGCCGGCCTGGGCGCGCGGCCGCGGCGCCTTCCCGGAGCCGGGCGGCGGCCATCGCCCTGCGCACGGGGCCAGCCGCGGAAACGCCGGGGCCGA